TGCCTTATCTCATCACATTTTTAATGTATTTTCGTTTGAGATAGGGCCCCGGCGAAGTCGATCAGCCTTAATCCGTTGTCGGACGTTTCGTCGTGGAGGCTGAATTTTCCGACGCTGTTTCCAAAGATCCCTTCCTTGCCCACCCTGGCATTGAAGTCGCCAAGCACGATTTTGATATCATGACGGGGGCAGCGCTCGTATGTGCGCTCCAAGCGCTCATAGAAGAGATCCTTGGATGCCTCATCCTTCTCTTCCGTCGGGGCATGGGCGCAGATGAGCGAGATGTTGAAGAATCTCGCTTTGACGCGGATTGTGGCTAGACGCTCGTCCACCGGGGTGAAGTACTCGGCGACGGAGTCTCTCTCCCACCACAAATCCAACACCGAATTTGCGCTCCTTTACATGGCAGATGTAGTAGACGTCGCAAGGCCCCAGACATTGGTTGCCTTGCCCCGTCCAACGCATTTCTTGGATGGCGGTGATGTCAGCTTTTGTCCTTACGAGGACATCAACCAGCCGGGCAGAGGCACCTTCCCCATTAAGGGTCCGGACATTCCAGGTGCATGCCCTCAAATCGTAGTCCTTTAAACGTTTGCCGTGGTCGTCATCATAAGGGGGGGGGTCTCATCCGAGGCTTTGCCTTGCTTCTTCACTGGAAGTGGTTTTTACGTGGCGGGTCCCAAGCCCGCGCACAACCCATTGCTGGGACGGGGGTGATTTCGCAACCAAATACACTTTTATATAGCGAGCCGCTTGCTCCAAGCAGACACCCGCTTGCAGCCGCACCTACTGGTGAACAGACGCTGCAGACTTCAGTGAGCCCTTAAACCGAATAAGTCGGAGTGGCCCCACCGAAGGTCCCTCTCTTTCTGCCGTGACCCAAGGCTCCACTCGGATTGGTTACCGCATCTCGCACATGGGTTGCTCACGTTGCCCAGAGTGCGCGAACGAGGACGCAAGAGTCGGGATTGAGTATAGCCATGCAACTGTAACTGCATACCCAGCGCAACGACTATACCCCATTGCACTCATAAGTTATTATAAATTAATTCATTGATTCATTTTATATGAAAGTTTAGCTCATTACATAACAAAGATCACATAAATCCATTAAAATTACTGAACAGTAAACAAATAAGAGAAAAATAGCCAAATTTGGTCAAGAAGTCTTGTTTATATTATTTTGATCATATGAATACACTTTGCAAAAACATATGGCTTTGGGTAACAGAAATAAGTTATTATAAATTAATTCATTAATTCATTTTATATAAAAGTTTAGCTCATTATATAACAAAAATCACATAAATAAATTAAAATTAATGAACATTAAACAAGTAGGAGAAAAATAGCCAAGGTTGGTCAAAAAGTTTTGTTTCTATTATTTTGGTCATATGAACACACTTTGCAAAAACATATGGCTTTGGGTAACAGAAATAAGTTATTATAAATTAATTCATTAATTTACTTTATATAAAAGTTTAGCTCATTATATAAGAAAGAGCACATAAATCCATTAAAATGAATGAACATTTAACAAATAAGATAGGGTTTAAATATAGGGACACGACATTTTGAAATTTCAAATTTTTCTACAAAGTTTGAAATTTGGACTTATGTAGTTTTTTTTAGACAATGAGCTGTATTTTTATAAAAAAAATTATAAACATTAAACATACAATGAAAAAATAGCCAAAACTGGTCAAAATGTCGTGTCCCTATTAATTTTCACATGACTGTATGTGTACGTATTTACATATACACTTATATATATACATTCGTACATATGTATAACTTACACACGAAGTTTTATTTAAATCATTTAAAATTGGTTAGCTTGACAATTAAATTATTGACCTTCTGTGCATTATTTATGTTTTTCCTCGCACCTCGAGTACAGGGCGGATAATACTTATAAAAATTTCTTACAAAGAACTCCATTGTTTGTGATATTTCCGCAGGAAAAATTAAATTAAATACATAGAAAATGTGTATGATTTGTTTTAAAAAGGGGAGAAGTGTTATCGCTCCAGTATTCTGAAATATAATTGTTTTTTCAATAAAGAGATATGTTATGTAATTGTCTTCTCCGCCATTTTCTGAAAATAAAATAGAAAATGTTTAATATAATAATTTATAT